GGTGCCGAGGCCTCCCCGCCGAGCCCCGCCGGCGCCCACCGTGAGCCGGACTGACAGGTCAGCGGGACGCAGGGGAGCGCGGTGCCCGGCCGGCTGGGCCCCGGGACTGGCTCGGGTGGGTGGCGGCGGCGGCGGCGGCCGTTTCCCGCCTCCCGCTCCGCCGGGGGCCGTGGAGGGAGGAGCTGAGCTCCCGCGCAGAGGGGCGGGGGGAGCGAGGGGGAGGGGCGGGGGAGCCGTGGTTCCGGGCGCGGGTTTGCCCGCGCTCGAGCCCCGCGCCGCTAAGGGGCGGCGCCGGCCGCAGTCCGGTTTCCGCGCCAAATTTTTAAATCGAAGGCGGAAGGTCCGGCCCCGCCCCTGACCCCGTCGACCAATCGTAGGGCTGCCTCGGGCTCTCTGATTGGTCGGGAGTCGTTGTCCTGGAAACCACGAGGATGCTGTCCGGGAACTGTCGGACTGTAGGCGGGCTGACGGGGCCTGGGGGCGGGGCTGCCGGCCGGACCCCGGGGAAGTGCGCGGGGCGCGAGGCGAGTGGCGGCAGGGAACTCGTACCTGGCTACCTTAGCGAGCTGATGCAGACTTGCAGGGTGGAGCCCAACGTCGCAGCGTGAGCCGGTCACCCGAATAGAGAGTACATAGCGCTTTGCATCTTTAAGGAAGTCTTTTTTTAAAAAAAGGTCTGAATCGTAAGGCGCGCTTTAAATGCCCAGCATATGCTTAGAGTTTAGAGACTGGATTTGGAAGTTTCATATCAAGCAGCTTCCCGAGACATTACTGGGAGACTATGCACGTGTGTGTAAGGGCAGAAATTCGGGCACGTAAATGTGGTCTTTCTCGTATCCAGATACTCGGGGTCGCGTGTGCTCAGCCGGAACCTGGGCTTGTGCGCTCAGTCCGGAGCCCTGATCTGTGAACAGGTGGGTGCTTGCTGCGGTCTATTTGGTGGGATTTGGTGGCCCGCCTTTTGTAAAAATGGGAGAGGACTGTCACTGGAAATTCTGTGGGTCGCTTGAAGTCTCAGGACAGCGGATCAGTTTGCTGAAGGAATTTACTGGCATTTGTTGGAGTTCTCCGCCCAGTGGGGCTGTCTCTGGTCGGGAATAAAATGTAAGTCTGGTTTGTCATTTTTCGTTAGTTGTTGCCATGGCCTGTTGTGTCCGTGAAGGAATTTTCAAGAGAAGAGCTCTTGGTTATCATTTTTTATCTAACTTCTTCTATTTCCTTTTTTCCTTAAGGATATTAACATTTTTAATAGAATTGCTTGGACTACTTAGACCATCAGGATTTGGGGAGGAACTCCAGATTTTTCATTTTTAAACTCTAAATGTATGAGAAATTTACAGAATGGAGAACGAAAAGGTACTTTTTAACCCCAAAATTCATCATTGCAGTTTTAGATGCAATAGCAGCCTGATTTAACTCCATAATTTTCATTATCTAATATATCTTATTAATGTCACATCCCGTTTTGGTTAGCCTCTGTACAAACCTGAAAAAAAGGAAAATTTAATTTTGAAGAGGAATAGGGTTTGCTTTCTATCAGTTAATCTTTCTCATTTTTAATGTTTTGGTGGAAGTCTCAAGCACAAATAGCGAAAAAATTATCTTTTAAATAGTAAAATTTGTTAGTTGCAGTACATTTCTGGGGGTTCTTGAACATTTGGACTTCAGGAAAGCCATTTGGCATGACTCAAGATTGGATTTCCTTGTAAGAATTTTCTACCAAATTGTTAGCTTCTTTAACTATGGGGGTCGAAAAATGCTCTGTTTATGAGGTAACCATTTTGTAAAATTACAAAAGAATGGTCAGTGGGGCTGTCCAACTACTGCTAGGTTTTAAAAAAAAAAGTGAACTCACACACATTTCCTAATAGTTTTAGATGTTGGTCAAATAAGAGAATTACTAGTGCTCCTAATAGTTTGAGGCAAAGCACAGCAGCCTTTAGAAAAACCCATTCTCATACTAGTCCTCTCGTGTACACGTTGGCAAGCCTCTTCCACTGGAACCATCACGCTGACTTCCATGTGAGAGCACCATACTCGTGGTGACCACAGCCAGGTTCCAGAACTGTGTGACCTTTCTCAGCCTGTGCCTCCTTCTGTAAAACAGCACTATGGGATCCCATGAAAATACAAGTGGGAAAGAACTTGATAAATCCTAAGTTGTCACAGACACATAAAATAGTTCCATTAATCCACGTTCCTAAAGTTAGTGGGTCTGTTCTTTTACTTACTGCCATTCCAAGCATTTTCTTTAGAACAGATACAGGTAGGAGTAGAGTGGGAAGTCCCTGGTGTCCAAAAGTGGAAGGAACATAGTCTCCATTCCTCTGATTTATTATCTGCTGTTAATTTACCCTTTGTCTCAGTGAAAGTCCTACTTCTGCCAGGATGTAGCTTTATGACCTTGGGTAGCTAATTTCACTTCTCTGGGCCGCGTTGTCTCCATCTGTAAAATGAAGGGATGGATATTCAAAGAGCAGAAGTCCTGCTTTTGGGCACTCTGGGTTTTCCTGATGGATCTGACCACATGCTAGCCTGCCCTCACCCTTGTCTCCCTGGTTCTCGGCTCTTCAGTGGTGTTTTATTGAGCGCCCACTGCATGCAGCCATTATGCTAGGCAGATCATAGTTTCTGTCCTGGAGACTTGTAATTATTATAGTTCCATGAGTAAAAGTCACTTCTATAAGTTTGGGACCGCTTCTAATGATCAAATCCTACTAGAAGAAGCTGAGTGAAGGGTTTTGTGGGAACTCTATACTATCTTTGCAACTTTTCTCTAAATCTAAAATTATTTCAAAATAGAGTTTACGAATTATAAGTCCTAATTAAATTTGGGGGTTTTGGGGGGTGGGGTTAATTCTTGAAACATAAACTGAAAACATTTAGGTTCATGCTTTGCTGCAAAATTTAAAATGGGAAATTTAACTACTAGAATGAACAAATGACCATTGGAATACAGTTATAAGCTTCATCAACTCTATAGTCTCTTTAGGCCTCTTTTCCTTAGCAATATTCTTAGAGTCAGTTTATGGAAGCTCTCTGATAAATCCTGTTTTACCACGGATTTAATTACTTACTTTTTTTCAAACCAGGAAAATCTCTTTTTCGAGCCACATAAAAGGGGACTCATGAAAACACCTCTGAAAGATTCCACCATGGCAAATATCGTCTTGGCAGAGATCCAGCCTGACTTCGGCCCCTTAACCACGCCCACCAAACCCACGGAAGGCTCCCAGGGAGAGCCGTGGACACCCACGGCCAACCTGAAAATGCTTATTAGCGCCGTGAGCCCAGAGATCCGCAGCAGAGATCAGAAAAGGGGGCTGTTTGACAACAGTAATGGATTACCTGAAGCCAAAGACTGTTTACACGTAGGTTTTCAGAGGGCTGGGTGGAAACTGGCGAATTTGTTGGAGGGCTGTAAGCGGTTGCAGAAGTGCCAGCAATGTATAGTATCACCGCCTGAGGCTGTCACGTACCTCCTTCGGAGCACCAGGTTTGGACCTCATCAGATACAGCACTGGGAATTCTGAACCTCTGAGTTCTTTCCATTTCAGGCTCCCCTTTCAGAGTTGCCCGGCTCCCCCCACGATGTTCCCCTAGACTTTGCAGCTGTTGAAGCTAAAGCATGTGTGTAAGTGGCGTTAGTCATCGAGCACAGATGCCCCTAATAAATCTGTCAAACTTTATTTTAGAGTAAGGCAGTGTTTACCTTTTCCTTTGTAGGAACACTTATCAGGAGATGAATATGAGAAATCCCAACCAAGTCGAAAAGAGAAAAGTTTAGGACTGTTGTGTCATAAGTTCTTAGCACGATATCCTAATTATCCCAACCCTGCTGTGAATAATGACATCTGCCTGGATGAAGTAGCAGAGGAACTTAGTAAGTATGCAAAGAGCTCACGGAAACAGTTAATAATTAAAGTGACTTTATGGACTTAACTCCTTCAGACTCACACCTTACCAGTGTCTGTAAATGACACAAATAAGGCCACATGGAAATTATAAATCGCCAAAGCTCTCTCCTTCTTGTAATTTCAGAATAAAGGCAAATAGTTTATCATTTCAACAAAAAAAAAATCACAGTGGAAGTTGCTTCTGACTGCATGTTGTCTCTGAAGTTTTAAAGAAAGGCAACATTGTTTTGTAACTTGTTCCACAAAATTGCTACAGCCATGAACTGTCTCACTTGTTTGCTCTCCTGGAAGCCAGGCTGCTGAAGGGAATCCTAGTTCATACTGAGGATCAGCTTCTGAGAGGAGTGGGACTTGTGTGTTCCTGGCTACACCACACTATTCTGAGGACTAGTGGGTTTTCTGAGTGTTTTGTGTTAGGCAAAAGTTGTGTTCTCCCTGTTCCCTTTTACTCTTCTGTTCATAGACCCAAATCTACTTAGAACTAAAAAGGGGTCTGATAAATTTGGGGTATCTTTGGAGTTGTGCAAATATCATAATTTAAAACTGTGACAACACATGCTGTCTAAGATGGTACACTTTCATATATAGCTGTCTCCCATGAAGGTACGTTTTACCCTTCGAATATATGTTTAGAAGTATCAACTTTATGTCACATTCTACGAATACGACATTTAGAGTCATCTACTATTCACATACACACTTAATCATAGCTAGGCACGATATACTTTTTGATTCAGCAAGTATCTATTCACCTACTATATGCCAGGCAACGTTGTAGGAGCTTGGCGTACATCTGTGAACAAAACAAGCCAAACCCCTTCTTTCCTGGAACCTACATTCTGGTGGGGCTGTAGCCACTGAGCAAAGGATGTAATTAGGAAGTGAGTAATGATAATGTGTGTTGGAAGCCAATATGCCCCATAGAAAAAAGAAAACACAGAACAGGGAGCAGAGTTCAGGAGTATTGGTGAGGTGCTTGCCCTTTTAAAATAAGTAGTCAGGCCAGGCCTCGTTGAGAAAGTGGCATCTGAGCAAGAAACTTCAAAGCATCGAGCCAGGGAGCTACAAGGACACCAGGGAGAAGGAGGTCTGGGTGGAAAGAGCAGCCAGCACAAAGGCCTTCAGGCAAGGGCATTCTGGCAGTTTCCAGAAACAGCAAGAGTACACTAGAATGCACCCGTCTTGAAACGGTGTTTTATTAAGCACTTTTCCAGAAAGGCTGGATTTTATTAAATATTTGCGTTGAAATTGATATTGAAAATAAATGTCTCCAACAAAGAATTCTGGCATTGCAGAATATCACAAACCCAATTTAAATAGATTAATGGGAGACACAAAACTACAAATATCATGCTGTCATAGTAGTTAGGAAGTAAGCAGAATTAGACCCCAAAAGGGATTTTTTTGTTTTTGTGTGTGTGTTTTTTAAATCTACATCATGGTTATTGTACTTTCCTGAACCCTCAGCACTTTGTACCTGCCATGTGATTATTACAGGCATGGATGTGTGTGTGTGTGTGTGTGTGTGTTAAAAACATAATACAAGACGTGGGTTGGAAAGTGTGAGATTTAGGGATTTTCTGTTTTGAGTTGTGGTCTCACTCTGTTATACAGGTTGGAGTGCAGTGGCATAATCATGGCTCACCACAGCCTCAACCTCTTGGGCCCAGGTAATCCTTCCACCTCAGCTTCCCGAGTAGCTGGGACTACAGGCATGCACCACCATACCTGGCTGATTTTTTGATATTTTGTATAGACGAGATCTTGCTGTGTTACCCAGACTGGTCTCAAACCTCTGACCTCAAGCAATCCTCCCACCTCAGCCTCCCAAAATGCTAGTATTACAGGCATGAGCCACCATGCCCGGCTCAGGAATTAGAGTTTTAAGGACTTGGCTTTACTCTTATTGGCTCTGTTCCCTGGGGTGAGCTACTTAACTGGTCTGAGCCTCTGTTTCTTCATCATTAAAGTACAGGTAATAATACCTTCCTCTCAAGCTTAGGGTAAAATTTTTCTAAGCTGTAGGGCCCATCTTAGGCCCTCAATACATGTCAACCTTTCTAATTCATATTAACTCGTCTGTACCCTTTGAGAGCAGGAACATGTCTTTCTTTTTCACCTTCACCCTGTTTGTTGTATATATGCACTTACAGTTAATAAAGTTATATTATCCAGAACCTATACGCTAATAAACCATGGGAGAAAAAGTTACTCAATTCTAAACACATTACAAAAATCTGACCTCTGTAACGCACGGCTGCACCTTATTTGTAGATGTTGAGCGTCGACGCATTTACGATATCGTGAATGTCCTTGAGAGTTTACACATGGTGAGCCGCCTCGCCAAAAACAGGTACACCTGGCATGGGCGGCAGAATCTTAACAAAACCCTCGGCACCTTGAAGAGCGTCGGAGAGGAGAATAAGTATGCTGAGCAGATTATAATGATCAAAAAGAAAGAATACGAACAAGAGTTTGACTTTATCAAGAGTTACAGTATAGAGGATCATATCATCAAATCAAACAGCGGCCAGAGCGGACACCCTGACATGTGTTTTGTGGAACTCCCTGGAGTGGAATTTCGGGCAGGTGAGAGACTGAAAAGCCCAGGCCGGGTGGCATTTCTCCTGGGTCTAAGGAGAAAGTCCCCTGGAGAACACTACTGGAAGGCTGCTCCTGCCTTTCATGTCAAACGCTGCTGTTGTCAGCTGTATGATCATGTGGTGATATTTTTAGCCTTGTTACTTTAGAAGTCACTTGTCCCTTCATGAATTTTAATTCTCTAATCCTCATCCTTCTCCAAAGCTTCTGTAAACAGCCGCAAAGACAAGTCTTTACGAGTAATGAGCCAGAAATTTGTGATGCTGTTTTTGGTGTCGACGCCTCAAATAGTAAGCCTAGAAATTGCTGCCAAGATTTTAATTGGGGAGGACCATGTGGAAGATTTGGATAAAAGCAAGTTTAAAAGTAAGTGTCATGACTGCCGTGGAAATTTGGACCACTTCTTAAACAATAAAAGCTCAGCTGTAAACTGGTTTCCAACTATATTGAGTATGTAAACAGATCTTCTCTGATTTTGTTTTTTATCTTCTCCCCAGAAGCCTTGGTAATACTGATTTAGTTAGCTTGGAGGATTCGAAGATGTGAAAAAATACTCATTTACCACTTTGGCTTCATTTGATATTGTAACGTTGCTCACATTTTACTCAAGCAAAATCTGTACTGCAGCCTAAATGAGCAGTAAATTATAAAGTGGGACGGGTCCCTGGGTCTCCACTCTTTCCACTGATGCTGGCACATGAGTGTGTAAATAGCTCGTAAAGTTGTCCCCAGAAGTGACCAGCAACACGGTCTGCCATTTTGAAAGGATGGTTTTGGCCAGATTACCTGCTCTCCATTGGAAAGGGACTGTATACCGACTTCCTAACATGGAGCCCTGTCCTCAGCACTATGTCAGACATTGCTGGAAGGATGTAGAAAGAAGCACTCAGCAGGTGGGGAGGGACCCGTTCACACCCATCTCTGCTGAGAGCTACCCTGGTCATGGGCCACTTGTAGGACCTGGCTGGATGGTGAAGAAGAGCTGCCCCCATTGACCGCAGAGGTTGTGGGGGATGCCTGGGAGCTATCACACAGAGACTATCACACAGAAGTCTATTCAGACATCTCCCACTGATAGTGTATCTGTAAAGACAGATTTAAGAAGGGAGAAAAGGCAGTAAGGCTTGGGTGATCTGCAATTTCAGAAAATGTGCCCTAATACTACTGAAGGGTGACCTGCTTCTTCTGAGTCACTGGACAATTTCAGTGCTCTGTTTCTCTGGTTAGTCACATCCTTGAAATCAGCTCCAGGAACTGCAGATGTGTGATTTGCTCAATCCCCAGGGATTTCAGAGCCCCCTGGCATGGCTATGAAAAAGGGGACTCCATCTGTCATTTTGTACCATCAAGACAGAAGTAAAAACAGTCTTCTTATGACAAAACTTTTTGAGATTTTTGATTTGCTGCATTAACAAATCTATGCTTTGCCTATTATATAAAGACAATATAAAAAAGTTAATGAATTTTGATGAAGTACAGTATTTTCCATGCTGTGATATTAAATAAATCTTGTTATAAGCTATTGCAAGCAGGAAAGCAATACATTTGTTACTGATGCTTTTATTTCTCTCTGTTCATAAAGTTCTGAATTCTCATGAAAAGATACCCAGGAGTGGACTTTTTATTTCAAAATCTATAACATAGTTTCAGACAGAATGATCTCATCAAGTCATTTTTTTCATCTTCAAATGTACTGTTGTCACTTCAAAATTCAGTACCAGCAGGAATTGAGTCCTTTAAATATTTAAAACTATTTTTTGTCTTAATGCCATATCACTAGAATAACTTAAAAGGAGTCACATGTTCCTCTGACATTGATGGTTAAGACAGCTTTTAGAATACACATGAAGTCCTTATGAAGCAAAATCCTTTGATCTTTCATTATTCCTTTAAGTAGTATATATGCTTTTTTTTTTCCAGCAAAAATTAGGAGGTTGTATGATATAGCTAATGTTCTGAGTAGCCTGGATCTTATCAAGAAAGTTCACATTACAGAAGAAAGAGGCCGAAAGCCAGCTTTTAAATGGACTGGCCCAGAAATCAGTCCAAATACCAGTGGTATGTATTTTTTTTTCTCTCATTCTTTGCTTCATTATTTGGAATTAAGACACATTTGGAGATAGTCTCCCCTCCCCTCTGTACCCACATATGAAAAAAACACATGTAAATGGTTGAAAAGATAAAGATGAATCACAACACACAGTGTTTGACTATGGCTCTGTCAGCAGCCCAAGATCCATAATACCTGCCACCCTGTGTCCAGGAAGCAGAATCTGTATGTGAAAGTGTCTGAGAAAGCACCACAAAGCATAAGATACTATTGCCATCGTTATTATGCTGTTTGGTGGCCACAACAGAACCCACACACACTGAGAACATGAAATGAGTAAATTCTAGTACCAAAGTAGATATTTCTAGTCCTTATCTTTACTCTGTGATTCTGATACTCTGCATTCCACCAAAAATCTCCACCCAGAATCATTGGAAAATGACAAGAACATGGGCCATGCAGGCAGAGGGAGTCTTGGGTTCCAGTCTCAGCTCTGTCACTCATTAACCCTGCTGCCTTGAGCAAGTTATTTCTCCAAGGTTCAGCCTCCTCACCTGTGAAATGGAAAGAATAATGGCGCCTTTTGGGGATTATTGTGATTTTGACTGTAATCTCAGAGAGAGGTCCTGTGGTGCAGGAACTCAAAGTTAAGGGCTATACTGACCAGATTCCAGGCCCCTGTGCTCCCAGCTGAGAGACCTTGACACAGTGGGTTAACATATATGTGGACCACAGCTCTCACCTCTCACGTGGGGGTGTGTTTCCTGAGGACTTACCTTGTAGAGTTGTAAGGTTCACCATATTTCATCAGATCTAAGACTGCACTGACTATATATAAGATGCACAATTCCGGCCGGGCTCGGTGGCTCAGCTGTAATCCCAGCACTTTGGGAGGCCAAGGCAAGTGGATTGCCTGAGCCCACGGGTTTGAGAGCAGCCCGGGCAACTTGGCGAGACCTTGTCTCTACAATTTAAAAAAAAAAAAAAGCTAGGCATGTAAGTGTGCGCCTGTAGTTCTGGCTACTTGGAAGGCTTAGACGGAAGGATTGCCAGAGCCCAGCAGGTCAACTGCACTCCAGTCTGGGCAACAGAGTGAGACTCCAACTCAAAAACATTAAAAAATATATATATAAGATGTACAGTTCCTTATATATGCCTAAAAAAAGAAAAAAAAATCATTCATAACTACTCTCCGGCACACCACTTGTTGTAAGAGACAGTGCAGCTTCAGAAATGTTAAAATATGAAACAGCATGTCTCAATTCATTCAATAAGCTAAGGTTTCATACATAAACAGTGTCTGGTACTTGGCTGATGCTCTAGAACTGCTGCCGGTTTTTATTCCTAAAGTCATTTTAGACTGACATTTTGATTTCCTATCCCAGGTTTTAACACACAGACCTTTTCTGTTTCAGGCGCCAGCCCCATTGTGCATTTCACTCCCTCTGATTTGGAGGTAAGGCGGTCTTCAAAAGAGAACTGTGCCAAAAACCTCTTTTCCACGCATGGGAAACCAAACTTTACTCGGCATCCATCCCTTATCAAACTGGTAAAGAGTATAGAAAGTGATCGGAGAAAGATAAATTCTGCGCCCAGTAGCCCTATCAAGACAATCAAAGGTATGTTTCCCATAATGTCAGCACTCTGCTAGAAGGAAATCCTTTTTTATCTTTTTCCTGTTTTTTTTTTTTTTTTAGCTTACTTGATCCCTGCAATGCTTGTCAGAGAGTTGTTTCAATATTCATATACTCAAACCCTCTTGAAACCTAACTTATGTATGAGTTAAGGGATAGAAAGTTGTTTGTGGGGTTTACTGTTCAATTGCCATGAAGTTTTGAAGGGAGGTGTTTGTTTTCTGTCCTTTGACAGCAGGGTCCATCTGTGGGAACATTTATCCTTTTGCTTGAACCAATGCCCCCTCCCTTTCTATTTTACCAGCTGAGAGTTCTCAGAATTCAGCACCCTTCCCAAATAAGATGGCTCAGCTTGCGGCTATTTGCAAAATGCAGTTAGAAGAACAGTCAAGGTAGGTTGGCAATCCTCTTGAGTAACAGAATGAATTACTTTTACATTGCATTATTAGGATTGCTTATTTTATGTGAGAACAAGCACTAGACTTGGAAACTAGAGAGCGAGTCTTTTCTATATCTTACACTCAGTCATTACGGAACTATCTGCCAGTTTCATAAAAACCTGGCTTCAATCTGAGGCTTAAAGTGGTAGAACACTTCAGAGGAAATGAGTTTCCGTTGTGTCATGTTTTAAATCTTGTCTTTTAGTGAGCCCAGAAAGAAAGTGAAAGTACAGCTAACAAGACCTGGGTACTGCAAGCCTGTGGTCCCTCTAGACAACTCCGTGAATGCCGAGCAGGAGCTGACTGCACCATCCCTCATGCAGCCCCTGGGGGTGGTACCCTTGATCCCCAGCCCGTTGTCATCGGCGGTGCCCATGATCCTACCTCAGGCCCCTTCGGGTCCATCTTATGCCATCTACCTGCAGCCCGCCCAAGCCCAGACCATGACACCACCCCAAGGCCTGAGCCCAAAATTCTGCCCCACCCACTCTTCTAAAGCTATTGGATCAAAAGACTCCACAGATGTCCCCACCGAGAAGACGGTCAACAATGCCCCCAAATCCAGTGTCTCCACCAGGCCTGGGAGCTGGTTGCCGGCACCAGAGAGGCAAGGTGCAAAGAACCGAAACAGGGAGCTGGCTGGAGAAAGAGGCTCAAAGAGGGCGGGCATACTCGAGGACAGTGGTGCCCCCAAAAAATGTAAAGAGGAACTAAAAGGACTTGACAGTGTCTCCGCAGTAAGTACTGCCTTGAACTGCGCAAAGCTTTAGGAATTCCCTGGTCGATTAGAGAATTTGGTGGCCTGTGAAATTTACCAGAGCAGAGAGCAGTCTTTCAGAAGATAAGGAACTGTTCCTTAGCATTCTCATAATCCAAATGAAGTCCTAGACAGCTAATCTCCTGACTGGGATGATGGCAGGGACATTTTTAACCTTCAGAGGAAGGGATTATTAGCTATCTTTTTAAAGCACCATGGGTGGTTGTCTTTAATTCCATTTCTCCATCACATACTGGAATGCAAACACCTGTCGTGAAAATCTTAAATAATTTACAAGCAGACATAAGCCCAAGTGAATGGATGGATGCATAGGGTGCCTGTAACTCCTGCTTTCTGAGTCATTACCTAATGTTTGTTTGATGCTGTGTAACTGACATCAGTTGCCTAGAAGAGAAATTCTTCCCATTTCTACTTTCTACCTAAAATTGAAACCAAAATTTCTATTTTGTATAAATAGAAAAATTAAACCAATCTTGGCAAATCATAGGTTTAGTTGACATATTGGTTTCTAGAGATTTTGACATTCTGGATAATTTTTTTTCCTAGATGGGAATTTGGGAAGGAATTAATTGTTCTTGAATGCCTACCTACAAACCAGATGGAATAGGTGTTAGGCACTTTTATATACATTATCTCATTTTTCTCCCTTAGGACAATTATATATGAAAGGCATTACTATATCATCAAATGAATACCAGTAAATGTGGAAGCAGAAGTTAATCTCTCATTTTGTCTCTGCTGTCTACATAAGTGATTTCTTTTTTTGGAGTTGGATCCTCACTCTATCCCCCAAGCTGGAATGCAGTGGCACGCTCACAGCCACCACAGCTTCAACCTGCTGACTCAAGATGACGCTTCCACCTCAGCCTTGCAAGTAGCTGAAACTACAGGCGTGTGCCACCATGCCTGGCTAATTTTTAGTGATGTATTTGTAGAGACGAGGTCTCGCCAAGTTGCCCAAGCTGGTCTAGAACCCCTGGTTTTAAGCAATCCTTTCACCTCTGCCTCCCAAGGTGCTGCGATTATAAGCGTGAACCACCACGCCCAGCTGTGATTTCACTTTTCTATATCTAGTTTTTCCTCATCTGTAAAGAATTTATTCCATCAACTTTCCTTGATGGTGTCCTGGGTATAAAGCTCTGAGCTGTGGATCAAATCTAACCCAGCACCTGCCTTTGGTGGCAGTTACTCTTGAGTGTTTGTCCCATGGCCACAGTTTTGGTGGGGTTAAGGGAACTTATTACATGATGGTATACATAAAGAGTTCTGATCCTTTTAGAATGCCATCGAAGCTGGAGGGTATTATCTGTTACTGTTGTTATTACGGAAGCTTTAGTGTTTGTCAAATCTTCCCTGAGGATGGCCTCCTGGTAACCATTCAAAACATCTATTATCTCACATAGTATCATTTTGTATTTAATGTGCATGCTAGGGAGAAATCACAAGGCTTTGGCTTGATTCCATTTTCTGGAAGGTCCATAATCTCTTTGGGCCACTGGGTATGACTTAATAGCAGTCTCCTGTTGCTCAGTTATTCAGGATTAGGTTTTTCAGTGGATAGGTTTTCCATGTCCTCCTGCTTCTTTTTATTTTTTCAACTGTGCCACTCCATTTTGACCATTTCTTTTTCTAGCATGGACTGAGCAAAACAAGATGAGTCATGTGTTAATTCATTTAGCAAACACATACTGAGAATCCACACCTCTAAGGGTGGAGAGAAGACAGTTTGCAAATAAATGCAAACATCTCAGAATTACAAAAACCATTGGTGATTTGATAGGAGGAGAGGGTGGCAGGACTACTATGGGCTAGAAGAGGTGATATTGGAGTTGAAATGTGCCAGATCTATTCATTCAGCTAATTTAATTGTTCCAATTTTTTTTTTAATCCTCTTTTATCCTGGCGTCATGGGAAAAAAGATTTTGTAATGAATACAGTTGTTGAAAACTGAAAAATTATTATTAGAATACTGTATGCTTTACTGAAGACTTGAAAGAGTTAAACCAGCAATCAAAATAACTTGTACCATGAGAAAATATGACTAAAGAGAGCAGCTCTTTGTAAAATGCCTAAATCTACCCCTTAAGCATTCTCTATTCCTGCAGATTTCAGGGCACCTACTAGTAAAGATTTGGAGTGGGACCAGGCACCCAAGAAATGGAATTAAAAGAGCTTAGGGCATACTTTTAGCATTGTGGATTCTGAATTCACTGGCTCCCAAGGAAAAGACCTATTCACAGCTAGATCAAACTGTTGTTTTGACAAAGCAGAGAAGAAGGATCTAAAGGAAGACAAAAGGAGGGGTCCTCATTTATAATAGTCGTTTAGCTTTTGCCGTGACCAAGCACGGTACGGCTGAGGCAGACATTTCAGGCAGTTCAGCCACCCATGCAGACTTTTTCTGTGTGTAGAAGTCCAGTCATCTAACAGGCTTGGTTGGAGTGTCTACAAGCCACCCACGGGGCCTTTTTTCTTTGGACTATAACTTTATTGCCTAAAGCTTTTGCCCAACTACATGTGGGTCTCTAATAGGAACTAATCATTGCTCTTCTTCATAATTTTTTAACTCTGGTGTACTTAGTTTGCATATTATAAGAGTGTTATTATCAGAGAAAGCAGTACTAGAGAAAAATACTGGAGAAAAATATACTTGTATAATTCCTTTGTTCAAAACCAGGGGCTGGCAAACTTTCTGTAAAGGGCCGGATAGTATTTCTGGCTTTGTGAGCCACATGGTCTTATTGTGCCTATTCAGCTCTGCCATGTAGCAGGAAAACAGCTATAGACAATACCAAAATGAATGGTCATGGCTGTGTTTCAATAAAACTTTATTTATATAAAGAGGCAGGAAGTGGGATTTGGCCCTCGGACCATAGTTTGGCCACTTCTAAATCAGCACTGCTTAAAGTGTTTTCTTTGAATGCTAGTCCTCCCTAATAGCTTACCAAAAGTATAGTTGCCAAATAGTCTGGGAAATGCTACATGCTGTGTCTCTCCCTTAGAGAGTTACAATGCATGCCAGCATTAAACTCTCTTGGAAATCCTCTACTAAAGACACCAGTTGTCTTGGTTTAGTTCAGCATTTCCCAGACATATTTGATCTGAGTCAAGTACCTGTTTGCATCCCATGGACCTAGAGTCTCTCAGAATACACTTTGGGAAATACCATCCTATGTCATTCAAAAACAATCAGATGGTCGGATGGCCGGGCATGGTGGCTCATGCCTATAATCCCAGCACTTTGGTAGGCTGAGATGAGAGAATTGCCCAAGCCCACGGGTTCAAGACCAGCCTGGGTAACTTGGCGAGACCTCATCTCTACAATAAATAAATAAATAAATAAATAAATAAATAAATAAATAAAATTAGCTTGGCGAGACCTCATCTCTACAATAAATAAATAAATAAATAAATAAAATTAGCTGGGCATGGTGGTACAAGCCTGTAATTTCAGCTACTTGTAAGGCTGAGGTGGAAGGATCATCTCAGTCCAGGAGTTCGAGGCTGCGGTGGCTGTGAGTGTGGACTCCAGCATGGGTGACAGAGTGAGACTCCAACTCAGAAAAACCAACAAAACAAAACTAAACAATCATGATAATCAGCAGTACCATGCATAGAGTTCAACTGCATTAAGCTTGGTTCTAACAGTTATACTGAGAAAACTGATAGCAGGGGTTAGGGTGTCAATGTGAAGGTAGTGTGCCGGGTGAATCCTACCCCTAAGCAGGCTCAGTTCCGGCTTCCAGATGTTTCCTAAGACCACAGATGGCATTTAAGTAATGGAGGTTTAGCCAGGCATGGTAATCCCAGTACTTTGAGAGGCCAAGGCAAGAGGATTGCCTGCATCTCTACAATAAACCATAAAAATTAACTGGGTGTGGTGGTGCACACCTGTAGTTTCAGCTACTTGGAAGCTTGAGGAGGAAGGATCGCCCAAGCCCAGCAGGTTAAGACTCAGTGACCATGAGCATGCCACTGCACTCCAGCCTGGGTGGGAGAGTGAGAATCTGACTCAAAAAAAAAAAAAGAAAAGAAAAGAAATGGAGGTTCTGCATTACTCAGGACAAGCTTTGGAAAGGGTGGGAGGGGACTGTCCGGCAGGAGCTGATGGCTGCCTACCTCCAGCCTGTACCATTGAAGGAGTTTGTCTGATGAGACAAACACTAACCAAGGGAGATTAGTCCTGGAGACCATTTTCCTTCCCGTATTTGTGTGTAAAATAAACCCTTCCTCCTTGTTTTCTAGACCTTGTTCCCATCAGGATACCTAATCCCTCTCACACAGTGCTCAGCCCTGGGGGCAGAGTCCATGTTGTCTAGTAAAGAAAACTCATGCACTCTTTCCCCAAACCACAGGATCTACGGCCCCCCGCTTACAGGTGAGTGCACATCGAACACTTTTCAGATGTGGGCCAGTCTCGAGTTCGCTGGCGCTTTGTACACTTCTCGGATAAATGCCTGTGTTTTTAAGATATCGTCCCCTTTTTCTTCCCAGGTGTTGTTCCAGTGACATCATCTGAACTCACTGCTGTTAATTTTCCCTCTTTTCATGTAACACCTTTGAAGCTAATGGTCTCACCAACATCCGTGGCAGCCGTACCTGTCGGGAACAGTCCGGCTCCCACTTCGAGCCACCCCATTCCCATCCAGAACCCAAGTTCAGCCATTGTAAACTTCACCCTACAGCACCTAGGACTCATCTCCCCCAGTGTGCAGGTGTCTGCCAGCCCTGGGCCTGGAATCATTCCTGTGTCTCCAAGAATAGAGGCTGTTAGTGTCGTCCCAGAAAATGCAGGCACTCAGCAGGCAAGGGCCACCCACTGTGACTCGCCAATCCTGGGCCAGAATCAACCAAATGGACAATCAGCTACTATGACGGGGACACAACAGGTGAGAGTATTTCCACTTAGTTTCATTTTCCCTTGAGTTATAAAGTCCCAAATATCTGCATTTTCGCAGCCTTTGGAGAGCAAAAGGATAAGAGAGAAGAGACAAAGGCCTACCTTCCAGAACACAGGGAGAGCATCCAAGAAGTCCACACTCTTGGGTTATCATGAGATTTTTGTCTCTCCTTAAATAAAATAATTTAGAATGTAAAACTCATCGAGGCTGCCCTTGCTATTTTTTTTTTTTTTTTTTGAGTTGGAGTCCCACGCCGTCACCCAGGCTGGAGTGCAGTGACACACTCACAGCTACCCCAGTGTCAACTTGCTAGGCTCCTGCAATCCTTCCACCTCAGCCTTCCTAGTAGCCGGAACTATAGGTGTGCACTCCCACGCCCGGCTAATTTTTGATTTATTGTAGAGATGAGGTATCACCAAGTTGCTCGGACTGTTCTCGAACCCATGGGCTCAGGCAATCCACTTACCTTGGCCTCCCAAAGTGCTAGGATGACAGGCTGAGCCACCAAGCCTGGCCACCCTTGCCAATTTTAAGGCATGCTATTTTACCAACACATGACATATCCATCTGGTCCAGTCTTCCAAGTCTGCTAGGGCTTGTGTATCTGTGTGTATTTGACTTCTTTTTTCCATTTTGCTCTTTCCAATCAGCCTGTTCCTGTGACACCCAAGGGGTCACAATTGGTGGCCGAAAGTTTCTTCCGTACCCCGGGAGGACCCCTCAAGCCAACCAGCTCATCCTGTGTGGATTTTGATGGTGCTAATAAAACCTCTTTAGGAACTCTCTTTGTCCCACAGCGAAAACTGGAAGTCTCGACGGAGGATGTCTGTTAATTGACAGATGTTGGCTTCGTTTAACTTTCTAAAGAGTTGTTTCATGGAGAAGATGTACATAGACTGATTTGGAGAACACATTCTCCGAAAATACTGTAAATACGTTGGGGGTTTGCTCAGTGTCAAACCAGATACTTGTTTTCGTACGTGTATATATATATATATATATGTATACACACACACATACACATATATATTTGTATAAAGCAAAGTTTAGCCTTCAGTCCTATAAAATAAAAGCAAAATGTTGAACTAAGATATATTAACTTTTAGAGGGAAAGATTCCTTATTTCAGCTGTGCCTATACTATTATGTAAAGTAACTATTAAAGTTTACTTCCCTCTGAGTAAATATGTTGACATGCCTAGCACAGCATTCTCTCCAACCTTTTTGCACAAAGAAAGTGCTGTGTGATGTACAATGTTGTATTTTTAAATAGGGCTATAGCTATATTTTTTTGTAATTTTTTAACCTGTTGCAATATGTCTTTTTTTGTAAAGTTCGCAACAATCTTCAATCAAGTCTATGGAAAAATTATTTATAAAATGTATTTTTAATCATAAGTTGTTCAAATTAAAACTTTTCTAAAATGTAGTTAACATTTTCATTTGACCAGTTAGGGCACTGTCAGGAGAAGATGAAAATGTATCTACTCTTAGAAGCCAATTCTTGGTAAGGAGTATATATTGGGTTCCCTTAGGTATGCAAATGTACAGAATATGTCTACATTCTTCCCTTCTTTTAACCCTGGAGATTGCTTTTGCAGAAGTGAAAATGAATTTAGAGAGGCTGTTGCTTAGCCAAGGTCACCCAGCTAAATCCCATGTGCTTTCTACCACATCCTGGGATATTAGAAGTAAAAGCTGTAATCCCAGCACTTTGGGAGCTGGAGGCGAGAGGATTGCCTGAGCCCAAGGGTTGGAGACCAGCCTGGGTGACACGGTGAGCCCTCATCTCTACAATAAGTTAAAATTAGCTGGGTGTGGTGGCCACACGCCTACAGTTCCAGCTACTTGGAAGACTGAGGCGGAAGGATCACCTGAGTCCAGCAGGTCAAGGCTGCAGTGGCCAGTGAGCATGCCACTGTACTCCAGCCTTGGCGACAGAGTGAAACTCTGACTCAAAAAAATAAAGTAAAAAAAAAAAAAATGAAAGGCAGCACTGGGGTATTCCCTGCCCAGCCCTAGCATGACCAGCATGTACACCAGGCTTTCCACTCTCCACAGAGCAGAATCTATACCCAGTCCTCTTTCCATATCTTCTGGATGGCACATCTGCAGAAGTGGGAAAACAACAGGATTCTAATTTTCTCCATGCTAAATCCCCATGAGTTTGAAGACAAGCAATGAACTATGATGTGTTCAGTGTGCATCTCTCTAACTCTTGTTACAGAGAAAATTGCACCTTGAGAACTGACAAGCTCCTTCCCTGGTCAGGGTCTTAAGGAAGTGTTGCAGGCCGGGCTCAGTGTCTCAGCCTCTAATCCCAGCATTTTGGGAGGCCAAGGCGAGTGGATTGCCTGAGCCGGCGGGTTTGAGATCAGCCTGGGCAACTTGGCGAGACCTCGTCTCTACAATTAAAAAAAAAAAAAAGGTGTCACAAAATCGATTACTCGATTTCCTTCATGTTTAAGTACAGGATCTCTGTGAGCTAGGACGGAGGTCACTGAGGCTCAGAGTTTAAAGCAAGTACATGGTCACACTGCTAGTGGACCTCTTTATCCATTACCCATCTGCCTCCTGATGCATGACTGGCAACTCTAGTAGGACCCAAGTTCTCAAGTAGGAAAATTGAGACAGTTTCAAGGTATTCTGACCACAAGGTCACCCCTTTCAAATATATGCTTTTTGTTTGCACAACCAAGTACAGCTAAAAGAGGGCAGATTAGCACCTTGATCTAAAAACTACTCTCCACACCACCAGAGAACCAATAAGAGATACTTCTTCCATAGCACCTTTTTTTGTTTTTATCCACTTGGAGGATGTGCAAATGGTCCCTGATATAAGAAATGGTCCCTGCCTTCGAAGTGCTAGTAATATAGTTGAGAAAGATAGTATTTACAGGTGAATAAATAAGGGATTTCCATGCAGTAAAGAGAAGGTAAATTTGCATAATGATAAATGTAGACAAAATATATAGTTCTGTAGAGACAACTAGATTTTACTGCATACCCAGAACTAAGAGAAACACCAACCCAGACAGCCACTGTAGCTCTGAAGAGGTGTGGTTCCTTATATCTCCCTCCTCCTCCTCTGACTGAGCTAGAGAAATTGGAAGTCAAAGTTTTGGTTTTGCTCCCTTCATCAACATTTCACATGAAGAAGTACCTTCCTAGGGAAATCAGATGCATAGGAAAAAAGAGGTATGTTTGATTTTGAGGCAGCTCTGGAGATTGTCCCACCCAGAGCCACTGACAGATCTGTAGGGTTGTCTCTTGGTCCCCATAGCCTGGTGGTGTTCATGTTCTTATGTGATCCCCTCCCCTTAAGCATGAGTTGGACCTGCAACTTGCTTCTAACCAATAGGATACAGTAAAGGTGATAGGGTGGGTGATTATCTGATTATATGACATAAGACTGTGTTACTCATCTTACTGGAGTCTCTCTCCCTTGCTGGCTTTGAGGAATCAAAGCAGCCACGTCAGGGGATCCAAATGGCAAGCAACTGTGGTAGCCTCTTGGAGCTGAAGGCAGCCTTGCAGCCAACACCCAGCAAGAAACTGAAATCCTCCATCCTAAATATAGCTGCATGGAACTCAATTCTGCCAACAACCCAAGTGAGTCTGGGGTGAATCTTTTCCTAGTCAAGCCTCAGGTGAGACCACAGCCCCCACTGCCACTCTGGTTGCAGCCTCATGCGACTCTAAGCAGAGGACCCAACTAAGCCATGCCCAGATTCTTGACTCAGAAACTATGAAACAATAAATGTGAGTTGTTGTAAGATGCTAAGTTGACAGCAATGCTGTTATGCAACAACAGGTAACTAGTACAGCTACATGGCCCACTAGTATTCACAAATACCTTCCAGTTTCTCCTATTATTGTCCATTGGCTTATAGGCATTCATAGAAGGAAACACCCCTAGGACACGGTAACCCCGGATGCTTTAATGGGAAAAGCATTTTCCATTCATTTTCAAAACTGGAAGGAACTTTAAAGACAATAGGTAGTAGCACAGTAGTAAAGTTCTCTACCCAGTATGAAATTTATTTCCCCAAGCTGGTTCCTTATTTCTGCCTAAGGAATTACATTTTCCATGTTGGATGGAGTCCAGTGGACTGTCACTGAGGGCCCCACTAATGTCTAGCAAGAGTGGACACGTTTTCCAGCCTGGGTCAGCCGCCTTGGATTTTGACATCTGCCTCATCCTAGCAGTGGCCTTCTTGCTATTCTGTTCCCACTGCAAGACTGTCACTGGGGTCCTGCTTCCCAGCCTCTAGAGCAGCCATGACACCTGCCCATCTTCAAGCCCAGTTTTCAGCCATAATCCACCGATTCTGTGGGCCTTTGCTACCTTTCAATACGTTTCTTTTGCATAAAGTTGCCAGTCATTTCTGTGGCTGGTAACCAAAGGACTCTTACAAAGGGAAACCCACAGCTGGGGTTTCCTAGTTTTCAGACAAGTTAGCTCCCTATCCTCTGGGTCTGGTGAAATGTAACCACTGACTGAGTAGAAAAGACCTTCAGAAATGCTTATTTCACCAGAAAATGCAAGTAACTTGCCTATGCTCAAGTGAATGTAAAGTGCCATTTCAAATACCTGAAAGGGACATTTTTGAAATATGGCATAGAAGAAACCCAGGAAACTTGAGCGATGGAATTTGACACCAATTTTTTTTTAGTCAGTTTTAAAACAAGTTCCTTCAGTCTTGTCCTTTTCAAGTGATTAGTGTTTCTGCAGAATTTAAGGCAGATAAGCTGTCGGGAACAATTCTATTAGTTATAAAAAAGAATGTGGTTAGACTGCAGATTTTTTTGCAGTATTTGTCACCAGCAGTTGCCAAATCTTGAGGACCTAAAATGAAAGATAAGCTCAAAGAAAAAGTGTCATTATTTTAGGTTAAAAAATATAGTATCAGTCTAGGTGCAGTGGCTCACGCCTATAATCCCAACACTTTGGGAGGCCAAGGTGGGATGATTGCTTGAGCCCAGGAGTTCAAGACCAGCTGGAGCCAGGAGCGGAGGCTCATGCCTATAATTCCAGGACTCCGGGAGGCAGAGACAAGAGATTACCTGAGCCCAGGGGTTCGAAACCAGCCTGGGCAACACGGCGAGACCTTGCCTCTACAATAAATCAAGAAATTAGCCAGCCTGGGAGACACAGTGAGACTTCTATTTATTAAAAAAAAAAAAAAAGGCCAGCCTCGGAAGCAAAATAAAACCTCGTCTCTATAAAAAATAAAAAAATCAGCCAGGCGTGGTGGCACACACCTGTAGCTCCAGCTACTTGAGGAAACTGAGATGGAAGGATTGCCTAAATGTAGGAGTTTGAGGCTGCAGAGAGGTGTCAGAGCAAGACACTGACTCAAAAAAGTATCAAACTCTTAGTCAACTTTTAAAGAAGTAGTTTTACACCTCCAAGTCCCATTTAAGTGAATTAGGTCAATGACTTGCTCAATCGGGCCAGTAGCTAAATGAGGACTTATCATGAGTGTCAACATTTGTAGAAAAACATAGGTAAGGAATATATTTCATTGTTCTCTAACAGTCAAGTAATCAACTATCCTTTATGGGGGGTGGCGCACAACATCAATAAGGGTAACTGATCTCAAATCGGGCGAAGTGGGGATCAAAGGGAGGCCCAGACTTTACCTGTACAAGGACCATTTGTATACCTAATTCTGAAATGTAGCTCACATCTTTAAAATAAAAAAAAAGAAAGGCCCCTTATATATTGAATTCTATGTTTAAATATTTATTTAATACCATATGCTCAGTACTGTGTTGTACAAAACAATGCCTATTATCCTACTTTGTTTAATAAAATACTCTGTATATGTGAATCTTCTAGAAGTTTATCCTGAATAGATATTTTTATTTCAATTATTTTAGATTAAAATCTAAAATGATAATATAGCTGCCCAATTCCCCTAGAGTACTATACTTTAAATATAATTTAACCTTTTCTTCATGTTTCAGAAATTCACAAGCACTATTTGTTAGATTCAAGTTCAACAAATGCAGTTTAGGCTACCTATGATACAGGACTGCCTTCAGGGGCTATTACGTAGGTGGTCTGTAGTCTCTTGAATGAATGGCTCCAAAATACTATGCTTTTTTTTTTTTCGAGTCAGAAGAGTGAGTTTGGTGACATGGGTTCCCCTGGAATCCTTCAGTTTTTCTGGGGAAAGGACTCTGTCACCCAGGTTGGAGTGCAGTAGCATGCTCATGGTCATCGCAACCTCGACCTGCTGGGCTCAGACGATCCTTCCACCTCAGCCTTCCAAGTAGCTGTAACTACAGGCATGCACCACCATGCCTGGCTAATTTTTTGACTTATTGTAGAGATGAGGTCTCACCAAGTTGCCCAGGCTGGTCTCAAACCCTTGGGCTGGTCGGAATACAATAAATCAAGAAATTAGCCAGGCTGGG